AACAGTTGGCTCCGATTTTGCAAAACTTTCGCAGGGTCACAGCTGCAGCTGAAATCAGCAGAAGCTGTGATTTGAATGTATGAATAAAACAAAAATTAGGCCACAACTATCTCAAAGTTGGAGAGGCTGAAAATTCATTGCGCCTTAGTTCCCTGTGTGTAAAACGGGGTGATAATGTCCTTGTCCTTTTATTGTTCAGTACGTGACTCCTTCATAAATACCAGTCACAAGCACAAGAGAAGAAAACCTTAAGGAAACTCTTTGTTAGTGCCTGGGTGCCAAATGAATAATGCCTGATGCTCATTGCACAATGCAAAGGAGGAGTTTTGAATAATTTCTTGCCTGGGAATCACTATCTGCTTAAAGCACAAAACTAGAAATATTCCTACTCTTTTTATGTGTTGTCATAATCATAGATGGTTAACACACATGCTTTCTTAAATAGAGTTTAAACCTTCTGAATACCTTATGCCTCAATTTTGATGTAGAAATATTTTAGATTTCTCTATATACAAGAATTACAGAATAATTTTGGTTGTGAGTGACCTCTGGGAAATGTCTAGTCCAGCCTCCTGCTCAAAGCAGAGCCAGCTCAAAGTCAGAAGAGGTCATTCAGGGCCACTGTTGAGTTTAGGTGTCTCCAAGGGTGGAGATGCCACAGCTTCTCTGGGCTCCTGGCCCAGGGCTTACCCCTGTCATTATGAAGGATTATTCCTTGTGTCAAACAAAGCATTTTGTTTTGCTACAACTTGAGATTGTTGGTGCTTGCCCTTCTGCTGTGCATCTCTGAAAAGTCTGTCTCCATCTTCTCCATATGTAGGGGAGATAGCAGCGAGATCCCCATTCAGCCTCCTTCAGAAGCAGATAAGGCTTAACAGACCTAGGTCCCTCAGCCTATTCTTGTCTGGCACAACATACTTAACTTGCACTGATCCATGGGTTAGCGTATCCCAGGCACAAGGCTTTGCATTGCTTTTGTCAAAGTTCAGGTGGTCTTACTCAGCCTGTTCCTCTGGATGGTTGGGATATCCTGAAAAGGCAGCCCACCCTACTGCATTCTGACTGCTCCTCTAGGTTTGATCGCACCAGAGAGGTTGCAGAGGGTGGATGCTGGTCCATTGGCCAACTCTGAGGCATTTAGCAGTACAGACCCCTGAAGTGTACCACTTTTAACTGCTTGATAGTTAGATTTCAAACTATCGGCTGTTGCTTGCAGAGTCTGCTGGTCCATGCATTTTTTTGCCTGTATTGTACTCCAGGCTCGTGTCTTTCTGAATATTTAGCTAAGTGTGTTCTTGCTTGCTTGGAAAGTGGTAATAATTGTTACCCTCTGTATTTAATCTGAAGTGCCTCAAAGAGGGTTAAAAAAAATCTCAAAGGAAAGAGGCTTATTTGGAGTAGCTGATTGGTATATTTACCTTCCATTTAATATCCAGTGTTTTATTGCTGCAAAGTCCACAATGGTAGGGTGTAATTATCAATATAATCTTTTAAAAGTCATAATCACAAATATATCTTAAAACTGGAAGGGCGTATCTTTGTATTTCTGATATGGTAGGAGCTACTAGACTAGAGTCAGAACAAGATGCCTTGGGATTGAATGTGTAGTAAGATGAACAGTGCTGAGCTGTGCTTAAGATTAACTAAGCAATGCAGAGGTTTGCTCCACCAGTTTCTGTAGATACCACTTATCAAGGTCCCCTGCTTTCTGAGGTGCTGTGCGTAGCAGGTAGTCCAGAATTGCAAAGATGCTCACCCATCGGCATGTTTGCCTTGCTTATGTTATGCCAGTATGTTTACTGGGCAGACTAGCCTTAATTTGACTGCTTGAATTTTCTGAAACTAGACTTCAAGGGAAGGTTTTGGGGTTTGGTAACAATAATATGTGAAACTGTGTATTATAGCTTGCTAATGTAAACTAATAATGTGGACAATAACAAAACTGTAGACAACAATCGTTCTCCAGAGATACCAAGTGAAGAGTTTAGACCTTTTGAGGTGTCTGGTTTTTGTATGCTCTGCCTCTAAAATGTTGTTGGCTAATTTTACAGTTATTTTTCCAGTGATAGTTTGAGTAGTAGCTATCATTGCAGAAAAATCTGCGGGGTTGGCTACTGACTCTTGGGTCCAGCTTCAGTTGTATTATGCTGACACAAATCCACAAATAACTGTACGTGAGTGGGGTTCATGCTGACTTGAGGTGTTCAGGTATATGCAAGAGAAATTGCTTAGCTGAAGGTCACTGTGGTTTTTTTCCAGGCAGATGCATTTTGAAAGCTAAAGAGTTCTCTAAATGATAAAGTAGTTAAATAATGAGCTTAACAGTGGTCCAGTGAGAGCAGTATTTGCTACTTATTAATTAAATATTCTCTCTTTTTTTCTGTTGCTAACCTGCAAAAGCATTACAATACATTTTCATTTGTATATAATAGACCTGTGGCATTAGTGCACAAAAGAGGAGAATCAAATGCAAGTTTAATTAGGATGAGTTTAAAAATACCTTGTACGCTTGATTTGTCATTCCTCTTGAGAACTAGCATCGATAGAAAATTTGGGTGCAAAAGAACTGCTGTGTTGGTAGCAGGGGGCTGGGGAGGCTGGGCAGTGGGAGAGCCCCTCAATCTGGGATAGGAAGCCTCAGCTGTGTTTTGCCAGGCTCATGGACAGCAAATACCAGCTCTGCTGCACCCTTCCTTTGTGCAAGCCTGCCCTTCTCTTCCAGTGCATGTCTGGGCTCTCAAGAGTTTATGGGACTATATGCTAAAAGAGGTTTTTATGTCTAATGAGGATGCGTGTGTCACTAGCATGCTTGTAACCAAGTGGTATTCTGAAGCATACCCAGCGTCTATTGTTCTTGTCATATTGTTGGACCTTTTTCCCTTGCACTTGTTGGTCTCTAAACTTGAATAGTTGAACGCATGAGCTGAGGAGCAGGAGCTTTGCTGGCACTTTACCACTGATTACAGGGCGCTGCTGATGAATTACACAGCAAGGTTAGTTTTTTTGCTCTTGCAAATGGCTTTTGCAAGAGCAGATTTATTGATGGAAAAGCAGAGCAAATTTATTGATGTAGATATTCTGTAAGCAACATAGAGGCTTCTGTCTTACCTTGTTGGGTGTAGTGGGGAACCTGCTCTTGCACAGGTAAGCCATGGCACTGGAGTGTGCTTAATGTGGTGGTAGTTTCCTGGGAGTAAGTGATCTTTGCAGTTGCACAAAATATGTACAAAGTTTCTGCTGCTGATACAGGTTTTCTTTTTCCTTTTCTTCCCTGTTCTTCCCCTTTGTTTAACAAAAAGGGGAATCAGTGTGTTGTAGATAAGCACTTCACAGTGGCCAGTGATGAAGAAGAAAGCTATTGCCATCAGTGAGTCTGTGGACAGATAGAGATGAACGTGCTCAGTGAAAATGGTTATTGCTTTTTTCAAACTACCTAGTCAAAAACACTCATTGGTTTGCACTGCTGAGATCCTGATTTCTTTCTTTCCTTTTCTTTATGCTTTGCTAGCTTTTAATCAGATGACAGTCTCTTTCACCAGGTTTTTGCATCTTGCTGTGAGCTCAGTAGAAAGGAGACTCTTCTGTCGGCCAGGGCCTGCAGGCACTGTTGTAACAGAAGTGGTGGCATCTTTGTAAGCTGGATTCCCCTTCAGGAGTCCTCCCCCACATCTGCGTAGGCTCCAGGCTTCTGGTCATCCTTCCTGCTGGAAGCAAATCCACGTATACTCAGCAAATCCACTTGACTCAAGTCAAGCTTTACGCAAATACATTGGGAAGCCTTTGGCTGCTGTGTTCGCTGTTCAAACAGCTGTTGGGTCTTCAGAGACTTGGCTGCTCAAAGTATCCCACATGGTGCTGTCTGGGTCCCAGCAAAATCAAAATCATCAGAAGGGCAGTCTTGGAAGTTTTCTGTAGTTGCTTTCCAGATGGGTGTCATTTTGTGCTACTGCTAGCGGTGACTTGTTTGTGTGGGGCTTTTTGGGAGAGCTGCACCATGAGGGGCATGAAAAAAGGGTAGGGAGGCCTTCTGCACTGCTGTTTATTCTTGAAGAAAATATTGGCCCAACCCTTGTCAGGTGTGAGTCAGTGTCTTGGCTGAAACTCCTGAAGGATGTCATTCTGGGACTGCTGTTCCTTAGCATCTGCATTCAAGACTCAGATGCTGCTCGTAAACAGGATACGGGGGGAATTTGGCCCAGCTATCATTATCTCATTCCTTCCCCAGGACAGGAGACCATCCTGCAAGGCACTAACAGCTGCTGCAACTTAAGAGGCGTGTTAGAAAAGGATAAATGAACAACAATAATCCTTTGTGAATGTTTCATTCTTGTTGTATTTTAGTATTTTGTTGTATTTTAGCACTTAGATGTATAGAAATCTGGGTTGTGGTAAAAATCTTTAAAGTTGGGGAGGGACAGTTTTGTGGCAAGAGTATGAACTGATTTGTTCATAGTCTTCAGTCAGTTACTTACAGGGACAGTTTCAGTCCTTCTCACAATATTTATAAACTAAAGAAGTCTGATAAATGGGCTGCCAGTTAAAGTGGTGTTCAATCTTTGGAGAAGATTGAAGAAAAGAAGGTTTTGGGGGGTGGTAAATATGCTGGGCTGGAGTTGAGATGTTGTACCATGAGTTCCTGCATAATTTTTCCTGGATTGTGACTTGCACAGTATCCTTACTTAAAGTAGTCCACCAAAAGTTAAAATGAAATTTTGTTTTGCATTTCGAAGGCTGTGACAGGTCTGTTGCAACACTTAAAGGATGACAAAAAAAAAGTTTGACAGAACGACATGTGAATTTCTGTAGAAATACAGACTTTAGGGGTTGTTGACTCATCATTGCTGAGTTGTTGCTGTTCCTTCTGACAATCTGAGACTGCCATGAAGTTTTTGAATAGCAAGAACAGCATCTTGGCTATGAAAAGATATACGTATGCATAGTACATGTACATGCACGTAGGCAGCAGTGTGAATGCATAGGTTTTCTTGAAGTTGGGAAGGATGCCGCTGGAGCCAGGCCTCACTGTTGATGTTGAGGTAAGCTGCTCAGTGTTTAGTGTCAAATTCGCTTCTGAAATCTTATTTTCTAGAAGTTAAAAACCCTAATGTGAGGAATCGTGGAGGCTTCTGAAGTACACAGGTAACTCTGAAACAGGTTTTATTGTTTCATTAGAAACAGTGCTGGAAAGACCTTTAAGGAAGATCTTACTCTTCTTATTTTACGAACTGGTTGTTTGTGAGCAGAGCCGGTGCCTGAACCTCAACCTCTTGTTCTCAAAGTCTACTGTCTTAAAAGCTTTCTGTAGTGCTCTGAAGAGCTTTGCTATTAGTCCCATACTAGTGAAATATTACTGGGGTTTTGTGGTTTGGTTTGGTTTTTTTGTTGGTTTTTTTGTTTGTTTGTTTTGTTTTGCTTTTTTTTTTACAGTGTTAGTTGTCTTACACCACTGCTTTAGCAACACAAATATTTTAGTTTAACTCTTGCTATGGAGGCACTAATCTTAAAATCATTGAAGAAATGATCTACTTATAATTCCATGGTCTTGTTGCTGTAAATAATACTGAGAATGTTTCCTGTATTCACAGGAGAGTGCTAGTGCTTACCCAGAAGAAGATTAGGAGGTTAACTGTAGTTCCGTAACAGGTTTGTGTACGGTTACAGGATCTGCCTTTTGTGAATAACAATTTGTATGAAATTCTTACTTGTTTAAAAATAATCCTTAGTTCAAATGCTGAAAATTCCCTGGCCCACGTGGTGTGAGAATTTGTGCTGGGAGAGTATGATTAGTGTGTATAAAGTCTGTCGTTTTACTCTTTCATTTGCTTATTTGTTTGCCTTGAGGCCCTTATACTGTCAAGGGAAATGTTTTAAACATCAACCAAGTTTTTCATACCCTTCGGGCAGGCTAATCCCTTACTTGCATGGGTGCTGAAAGTTTGCCCAGCCTTTGGCAGAGTGAAAAATAAATGTAATTATATATATATAAAAGTACAGTCTTCTGGGTTTGTGCAGCTCTGTTGCAGATGTATGAACAGAATTAAATAGGAAAATAATCAGTATTGTCCAAGAGGTGGCTCATTTAGCAAAGACCTCTGTTCATGCTTCATCTCTTTGGACACTGGCTCTTCTGGCATTCCCTGGTTTCCCAAAAAGCAAGCCGCAGCTTAGTATCTTATCCCTCACAGCTGTCATGTTATATTCTTCCCCTGCTGCAGAGGCTAGTCCGTAAAGAATCACCCCCTGGAGCTGATGGTTGTGTGTCTTGGGATGTGCACTACTGCCATTTGTTGGGCTCTTCTGTACTGAGGTTTGGCCATTGGTCCTTAAGTATGTTTCTGTGATCTTATGCAGACCTTGGATGAGGTCTTTTTGCTTGTGAATGGGAGACATCTGCTCAATGTACTTCTGAGCTTTACCTTGTACACTGAGTTATAGCTCCTTTGTTTGATTTGAGGGGTTTGAGGACCCCCTGTGTGCAGTTAGGGATTCTGAAACACACCTGGTCAGTGTGTTTAACATAGTGCACTTGTGTTCATGTTCATTTGTTGCAACATGCTTCTTCCAGACCGGTGGTGTCCACAATGCTGGAGGTGACTGGCTTGCTTATCCTCAGGCTTCTCTGGGGTGCTGTTTTCAGTTTTTCAGTCAACTTCTGAGACTGCTGAGGCTAGAGATAGGAATTATTGAAGAGGAGGCATTTGGAGAAGTTTGGGTTCAGTCAAAGTAAAAATCTAAGTGAAGAGGAACATGTAGATGAAGGCAAAATGTAGTCAAGTGTTCATTTGATGTGGAAGTACATCACTGAAAGGGCTGCAGTGACTTTTGGCTTTTCTTAAAGACTGACAAAATCGGCTGTCACATCTGTCATGCTCAAAAAAGTTGTCGCATGATTTTAAGCAAAGACTGCTTAATTTACCCTTGTCAGATGAATGGACTTCCATAGGCCATAGTTAGTGCTCTGTTTTCGTTGCAGTCTGAAGTCATTTTCCTGAATTTTCTTGGTTTCCGTTGAAGACACCTGTGATTTAGGCAAGTTAGTTAATGGGAGAGCGCAGCAGGTCTAGCCCAATTGTGCATGGCCCTGTATGATGTCTAACTGAAAAGCAAGGGTGAAGCTTGTGTTCACTGAAACTGAAAAACAGTTGTGACTAGGGACAATTTTCAGATGATTAAAACCCAAGCTCATACATTTTTATGACTATACAATCTCATAGTCTTCAGCTAAATTAAGACAGTGAGCAAGTCTAAATTGTACTTCCCTTGTATGCCAGTTATAACAAATGAGAAGCATCTGCAGAGGATGAATTTGGTTGTTTCTCCTTCAGCATTTTTCTATGTTTAAAATCTATCATAGCCCGAATACCCTCTGCTCTCCCTGGTTTTATTTTTATCCATGGGTTTTTTTATCTGTAAGTACCACTTAATGAGCTATTAGAAATTAAATTCCTAGATAGTCCTGCTGTCTGCTCTCCATTGCAGGATATTACTGCAGTACTGATTGCTGCAGAAGCTAGAACACATTTTTGGTTTTAAATGTAACATTAAAAACCAGCAACTTGTTTATTCTTAAAAAATGTAGATTCTTGTATTTCTTCTTTGAATAGCGTTAGTGAATGGCTGTGATGTGACAGTTATTTACTCTGAGGTTATCTTCATTAGTATCATCCTAAATAGCCTCCTGTAGGGTGCAGCTTAGTGTAATATGTTATATTTATCAAATTGCCAGATATCTAATTAATCTGGTGATACTGACACTGTCTATAAATGAGGTACAGACAGCAGCTTCAGTTATTATTTGAAATTTAATCCCAGTACTTAGTCCAGCTATGTGCAATCAAAACCCACTAAGGGAGATGATCCCTCGGCTCTATTAGTCCTGTTTTTCCCCATCTTTCTACTTCTGCTGATAGGGATACACACTTTGATGTTTGTAATGAGCAAGACAGGCTAGTGCTCCAGTAGTCTTTGAAAAATTGTCATTTAATCTTCAACATTAACTTCAAGCTACAGAAATTTTAATTTAAAATATGAATTAGATGGGTTTAATACAAGGCTTTTTCATAAGCAAGTAGTTAGTGTCTGATATTTGGGTCATTGTTTCACTTCTTCATTGGAATAATAGGAACTTTTTTCTCATGCTGGACCTGAGTGTCTACCAAGAGTGTGTCGTTCAATGTAGGATTATGCCCTGCTGTAAGAGGCAAGGGCATTGAGGTGGCATTTCTAGAATTATGGGAATGTGCAGTATACAGTAGGGATTTAAACTGTGGCTTTAAGATGATTGGTTTGTAGCCATAAGACTCGTAAGTATTATTTAGGACAATTGATATTTTTCAGAAGCAGTAATGTATTTTTGCCTGTAGTGTGCTATTAAGCTTTTCTGCCGAATGGCTCAATGGGTTCTCATTTTTGGTGAATGGTGGATGTTGCAAGGTGGGGCTCTGAAAGAGAAACTACCTGATTTTCCTGCCAGGCCAGAGGAGGAGCTGTTTCAGCTCCTGCCTCAGATTTCAGAATATCTTGATGTGACCTGCAGTTGCATGTTGTGTTCTGTAGAACATCTGCTCACGAGCATGACTGTTTGTATACTTGGGACAGGTTCTGGGAATTAAGGATAAATAAAACCACACTCGTGTAGGAGTATTTAGGGACTGGTTTTGGCTGGTGACCATGATCAAGGTTCTGTTAATGAGCTAATGAAAGTTAATTTTGTTCAGGAGTCCAAAAATACAAAGCTTGCTTAGAGGAGGGAGCAGGAAACAGAAGCAGCATGGATATGAAGTCGTTAATTACCTAAAACTAGTACAAATATGTCCAGAAATGCCTGCTGAATGAAACTCAAGTGTTGGTAAAACTAATTATGCCTGGAAATTTATTTGGAGTTCAGTAAGTCTGGTTAAACAGTCTTATGAAATCATCTTGGAAATGAGGCTGGAAAATCTTTTAAGTGTTGGTAGCTTTATTAAGATGGTAGTGCCATTATAAATTGAAGATGTAAATTAAATTTCTGAGAGTAAATAGTGGTGATCAAAAGCTTGGAAGATCTAAAATTTGTTTGGTATTGTCCAATTGCTTTTCTCTTCTTTTTTTTTTTTTTTTTTTTTTTTAATAGTGATCACATGGAAAATATTTATGGCTACTTAATGAAATATACGAATCTTGTCACTGGTTGGCAATACCGGTAAGTCTTTCCTGGTGCTTCCTGGTAGTGTTGGTCTTTGCAGCATCTAAATGAACATGTTTCAGATTTTTTAAGTAATACTTGTATTTCCCTTTTATTAGGCAAATGTTATGGAAGAGCTACACTTTTCTCAATGTGGATTAAGCTAATGTGTAGATGAATAATACTTGTTTTAAGGAATGAATAAGCAAAAATGTATAGGAGAGTATGAAGCAGTTAACTCATTTGATGGCTTATAACTATGCTTGTATGTGTAAAAAGCATGTACAGCATAATTTTTCTTTCTCCTTTTCCATTAAACAGATTAACTTTGGTTTTTGGTTGTTTTTTTTCTGCTAAATATTCAGCTTAATGCCAAATCATGCCTTCCTTTTTTTTTTTTTTTTTTTTAAATTGAAACTTCTTTACTGAAAATTCAAACCATGCAGGCTTTTCCTTTTAGTCCCCCAGGATGTCTGTCTCCCCTGGAATAACTTCATTTTCTTTGACAGGTGAAACTCTGGTCAGCCTACCTGCTTGATGCTGTTTCTAGAGCAGCACAGTGCAACTAAATTAGTATTAAAGAGACAAGTCCTTGGCTTACCACACTGGCCAAATTCCTGTGCTAGCAGTGGCATGAAGTGACTTGCATCAGTACACTTAGTGTTCAACTGAATTGAAATTGAATGTAGTTTAAGGATGTATTAAGCCTTAGAGATCCAGGATATCCTTTTGATTCCCAAAATTTTGGAATAGCACTCTTCTGTGGGCACGCTGTTCTATTGTGCAATCCCTGGCCTCTATAGAAAAAATTGCTAAGAACTTAATTTTTGTACAGTCTTGCTGGGGACATAATTCATGTTTGGGGTTGTACTGACTAAGGTCTTTTAAGTCCCAGCCTCATCTGTGCCAGCTTGTAATGAAAGTCTTAACTTCTCCCAGTACCTTTTGCTTTGTTATCGTTGCAGATTTTTTGTTTTAAACAATGATGCTGGTCTGCTGGAGTACTTTGTGAATGAGCAGTCTAGACATCTAAAGCCCAGGGGTACCCTGCAGCTAGCTGGAGCTGTAATTTCACCCAGTGATGAAGACTCTCATACTTTTACAGTCAACGCAGCCAGCGGGGAGCAGTATAAACTCAGAGGTAGGACCTGAATTCTTGGGCAAGGGATTCTTCCACTAGAGGACACTCCTGGCTCTCATTTGTGGCTGCTCTGCTGGGTTTTATTGCACGACCAAAGCGAGAACTTGGTTGTCAGACTGCTGCAGTGAGAATTATATGTGAAACTTTCATCCTGCTCTTCAGTTAAAAACTGTCCTTCTTTTGGATAGTGCCATACTCTTTAAGTATGATGACTTTCGGAAGACCATGAACTTCACATGTGTAGGATGGGGTTTACTCTTCATGTATAGTGTCCTTCAACTGATTCAAAGTTTTCTAAATCATTGTAGGTAACAATCCTGTGTAGATGCTTGCACAGAACTACATTTTTCCTAATGTTGAGTTTGTTAGCCTTCTTGTGGTGGTTATAGAAGCCCATTCTCTGATTGTGTATGCTGTGGAAATCTGGGCTTATATGTATATCTAATACCTTACATCTCCTGTATTTGTATCTAGCATCTTTTAGTATTTCTTCCCTTGAAGACTTGCTATTGCTTTCTAGTTCAGGGCACCTTACTCTTATTTCAGAAAAATAAAGGAAAAAAAGAAAAGGGGGGGGAGGGAAGAGGGGAGAAGAAATAAAGTACAGGCCATTTATGTTGAACTTGATTTAATGTTATAATTACAGGTAAGCTGAACAAGTTTTAGATTAAGAAGGAAAGAATTACTTTGAACTGTTAGTCATGTGACTTAAAGAATTAAGCAGTCTGTTATTGCCCATACTTTGAAATGTCTTCATTTGCATAATCCTTTTGGTTTGCTTTTATTAGCTACTGATGCTAAAGAACGGCAACACTGGGTTAGCAGGCTTCAGATATGCACACAGCATCACACAGAAGCAATTGGAAAGGTATTGTATAACTGGTATTTTTGTGGGCAGAAATAATTTAGGCAGGTGGTAGAACTGCAAATACTGCTGTCCTGTTACCTCAGACAGGTCCTACAAAAGAGCATGTGGTTGGGTTTGACACGTTACTATTCTGAGTAATAGCTGACTTGTAATAGAAATAATCTTTAGGAATGAAACAAAGTGAAGTCCTTTTGCCCCTGAAGACCTTAATGGTCCTCCCTAGGCAGGTATTGGAGGCAGATGAAAGATCAGATCTTATCCCAGAGTTTTCCAGAGGTTTTGCATTTTCTAATGGGTAAGGAAATGGGTCTTCAGTGCTATTGAATCCCTTCCATTTTGGGAGCTTTTTTCCTTTTTTTTTTTTAATTTCTTTCTTTTTTTTTTCCTTTTTTTTTTTCCTTTTTAATTTTTAAGCCACTCAACATCCCACAAATACATTTAGGATTAATTTGCATGTTTGAGAAGCAAGTCCTCAACTCTGTATCTGAGGATTGTTGCTTCCATTTACTAGCCATGTGGTGGTTGTAAATATAGTGTATTTCACAGAACCTCCCAGTTACCGTAACATTTATTCTGATACCTGAATAAAGTCTTACTTTCAAGGTAAAATCAACATCTTGTAGCTGGCTTTATTGTAAGAGATACGTTCAATGAATAGTTCCACATGAAATCCCATTCTCTTAAAAGTCAGCTATATCCTTGCAGGATCTGTTAGGAGTCAGTTTGTAGTACTGTTGCACATCAACAAGTAAAATTATTTAGTCCTACTATGGACTAATTTTCAAGTCAGAGAAGTGGTACATACTGATCAATCCCATTTCACAGATTGTTCATAATTAGTCTATGAAACAGGGAAACTGTTAGCAGATAGCACAAAATATTTTTTTAGCAGTTGCTACTAATATATTATTAGGGCTATGTCATCTGTCCTTGTTCTATTAAAAAAATAAAAATGAAACTGTTCTACTGTGTCTTTCAAATTAGAATATTTGCTGGTTATTAGGAATGAATTATAAATGTTTCTCAATATGCTTATTTGTTCACTAGAACAACCCTCCTCTGAAATCTCGCAGCTTCTCTCTTGCATCCCAAGGAAGTGCCAACTCTCCAGGTGTGCAGAGAAGACCCAGTCAAAATGCAGTTTCCTTTTTCAGTGTTGGACATCATAGATTGCCAACTGGAAAAAGAGTTCCTATTATGCAGCCAGATCACCTTGTAGATGTTAGAGAGGTTTGTATGCCTTAAATTATCTTACAGCCTTTTGAAACAACTGTTCTGCTATTGGTAGGATTGTGGAGAAACCTGCTGTTCTTATTTGAATATATTGTCAATAGCATGTCCTAAGCTACTATTGCAGAGCTCTGTGAGGATAAGTAACTTGCCTTGGATAATTGTAGAAGTATGTGGTTTATATTTTGACTTTTGTACTCTGAAATAATATCCTGATGCTCAAGGTAGAACTTTGCATGTTCTCCTCATCCTTGCAAATCCTAGCACTATAGTTTACAAGGGAATATCCTTAAGGAAGTATAGCATCATGTACTATGATACTATTATATCATACACTTTTCTTCCCATGTCAAGCTCTAGAAGAATGGACTAAGCTGTACCTGTATCTCCTATGACTAAGGAGAAACTGGTCATGATTGTTTAAGAATGCTGATACTGCATTCTGGTATGCTAATTCATGTGGACAAATTGTCAAGGCATGAATGTGACTGAAAAGAGAGCAAAATAAAATGAGCAATTCGGAAACATGCTTTTTTCACTACACATTCAGGTACAGTGTATTGGGGGAGGGGAACGAACAACAAATAATTACCTTTCCATCTTGACTGATATAATGGACTGACTGCTGGTTGATTTAACTCATGAATATTTACAGGGTAGATGATGCAAATCTAAAGATAATAAAGAGAATATGTTGCTGAATTTCGAACTTGTGTTAGTAGTAGCATTTATTAATGACTATTTTAATGTTAGCAGTGTAATAAGCGTAGAGTGATACATTTCATGGCAAAAATAAGTTTCTCATGGAGGGCTTTTTAATTGAGCAAATAAGGATTCATGAAGTGCAAATAGTTAGAAATTGAATTTGGATAAACTGGGACAGAGGAGTACTATGTATTGTGAACATCATTAATCTTAAAATATGTGTCTGAGTAAAATAATGTGTTAAGTTCATCAGTGGGAAGCTGTAAGTAGGTATTGAAAATACTTTCCCTGTTATGGTATGTTGCCATCATCGTTGTTCCTTGATTTAAATCAAGTGCTGTGACGTTATTACTCGGTAGTCTAGACAGGGTCACTGCCTCTTTAGACCAAGCCAAGTGCAAGGTCCTACACCTGG